CCCAGCTGCCTGCCTGGGAGCTGAGGACGCCTTCCCTGCCGGGTGGGGTGGCGGCAGTTAGCAGTGGGAGGGGAGGTGTGGGGGCCGCATGCCCAAACCGAGGGGCTCTGACCCTTCCCGTGCTCGACTGCAGCCAGTACTCCATGATGGATGACGAGGAGGAGCTGCCCCACCACGAGGAGCGGACGTGGTACGTGGGGAAGATCAACCGCTTGCAGGCGGAAGAGATGCTGTGCGGCAAGCGGGACGGCACCTTCCTGATCCGCGAGAGCAGCCAGAAGGGATGCTACGCCTGCTCCGTGGTGTGAGTACCCCCAAGCAGACGTGGCGGGACGGAGCTGGCATGGGCTGTGTGCTTCCGCATCGCTCTGCCCTTCTCTTGCCAGATGCTGGAGGCTGGCGGAGGCGTCAGCTGGCAGGCTGGGCTTCTCCAAGGTCTCCCATCTGCCTTGGCTCCTCCTGCCAGCGCCAGATGTATCTTTGGGCTGCCTCGGTGACGCCCGCTTGTACTGTGCTGTCCCTGTCCCTGTCCCAGCGGGGCTCCCTCGTGCCGCGGGGCACTGGCGTTGCCGCTGACCTGTGCTCCCTTGTCTTCCTGGCAGGGTGGACGGTGACACCAAGCACTGCGTGATCTACAAAACAGCGACCGGCTATGGGTTTGCCGAACCCTACAACCTCTACGCCTCCCTCAAGGACCTGGTCTTGCACTACAAGCACACATCCCTGGTGCAGCACAATGACTCCCTGAATGTCACGCTCGCTCACCCGGTCCTTTCCCAGCCACCAGCCAGATGAGCAGCCCGTACACAACACAACAGCTGCCTTCAGCTTCTCCCCAGGGCGCTGCTTTCTGGCTCTGGACTCTTGCACCCTGTATAGTTGAGTCTCCGTGCTCCTGCCCCTCCAGAGCCTCTGAGATGTCTGTGACCGTTCCTGGTGTCCCTTTTGGTCTGTAGCTGAAACCCGTGTTGGCTGATGGGACAAAAAGGCTGGGGCTGTTGACTCCCAGTGGGCTCCAGCCTCTAGGAGGTGGGATCCAGTTGTGATTGAATTACCGTGGGCGAGCACAGCCCCTTCCCCTTCCCCGATAAGCAGATCAGATCCCCTTCTTGCTGGCAAGTCGCCCCGCTACGCATCACTGTAGAGCTAGATTTCCGATTCCTCGGTGCGCTACGGCGTCGGTCACTGCCCCGGCCGAGCGGCCGCGAGCGCTGCTCTGAGTGAGGGGCTCCCGGCCTGGATGCCGGAGGAGGCAGAGGAGGAGGCTCTGCTGAGCAGCTGAGCGTGTGCATCCTCCACTCTCACTTCCCTCGGCGATCTTGCAGGCTGCAGTGGTGTCTGGTACGAGGGGTGCTGCTGTTCCGTGCAGAGACTCATTTAGACAGGAGAACCCCCCCCTGCCATGGGGCTTCTCGGCCGAGGTCTCTGCTCCGTGCCGTGCCCCGCCTCACCGTCTTGTTCCCTGGTGTCATAACCACCTCTCGAGTGTTGCTGTCTGGGGAGGGAGGATCTGGTTAGTGATGAATCTCTCGCCTTAGTTGTGCCAACTAAGCTGTGAAATCCGTGTTGGTACCCGTGTTTTTCCCAGCAGAATATGTGGGATGCACAGCTCGTTGTTTCCGTCTGTCTTCGGTGAATCTCTGCAGACGTAACCCCTTGAAGCTAACTGTAGCTCTGTAAATACGGTTCTTTTCGTAATCGGCTGCTTCCCTAGTACTGGTGTTTGCTGAACTCCCACTACGATACGCAAGCGCGTGGGCGGCAGCTGGCCGGGCTGCTGCAGGCTCGGGTCCCACCGGCTGAAGCAGGAGGGGGCCGGAATCCGACGCACACTACGAGCCCTACACAAAATGAAGGACCTCTCCGCTGCAGGAGGACAGTGTCTCCGCTGGGCCAAGGAAGGGCCTTAGCACCTAGAAATGTATATGCATGATGTCAAACTATGTATGCAAAGCACTTATAATCATGAGTACTGTATGGGGACTTGGGGTGAAAGAGCCGGGGTTGCTGTAGTGCTGCCCATCGCAGCTGGCTGGCACGGGCAGGGCTCGTTGCGTCTTTTCGGATAATGCTGAGTTCAGAGAGCTCGAGGGCAACGGAGGTGGCCCTGGAAGAGCTTTAAAAGTTGAGGCCATGGTGGCATTTGCTTTACTGGGTTATCCTGCCTGCCCAGCTTGAAGAAAGCATTAATTGTCCTCCTGATTTGCTGGAGAGGCTCCTTTCCCTTTTGGAGGCCGCGTCCTCAGGACGGGCTGGTGGATGCTGTAGGCTTTGACGCTTCTGTTTTGTGTTGTGACTCGGGCTGCGCCTGATCTGCGGGGTGCTGTGTGCTCGTGCTCTGCCTGCGTGCTGCCCTCGACAGGCTGTCTGCGTCGGGGACCGCGCTGTCCCTCCTCTCCTGGTCAGCTCTGCTGCTCGCCTTGCTCCGGGCCGGTCCCCAGATCCTTTTGGATCTGGAATTGCTGGAGCAAACGTCCCATTCCCGTTGCTTGTGGCAGCTCTCCTATGCCTGGCTGTACAGACCCCATTCCCTGCTCTGCATGCCCTCTCCGGGTCCCGGCCGTGTTTTTTGGTTCCGGTTTCTCGGCGTTTGGCGCTCTGAGGACGCAGGGCAGCGGTGCCGTCCCTGACCCATCGCAGCCCAGGAGTGCGCTCGGGTGCCGAAGTGCCCCGGAAGGGGCAGGCGATGGCTTGGGGAAACTGTGGGGCACGCAGCCCGGGAGAGGCTGCGTTTGGCTTTGGGGATTGCTTGGCAAAAGCTGTCGGGGATAATTAAGGAAATAGTTTGGGCTCGGGCATGTGAGAGATGAGAGCACGTGGAATGGGGCAGGGAGGTCTGGTGCTCATAGCCCTCTCTGCAGAGGCCTCCCGGCGTCTGTGGGGTGGCCGGGGGGGCCCCGCCAACACCCCAAAGCTTTCTGCCAGGCTCCTGAACCAGTTGCAGCGGCACATTTCCAGCCTGGGGACTCTGTGCTGGTCCTGCCCGGGTCCCGTGCTCGTCCCTGTGTTCCCAGCACGTCCCTGCCCCACAGGGCAGG